ATTATTATTAAAAATTATTATTTTTATTATTAGCAGCGCTTGCTACTATTATTTAAACTTTTTTATAATTAGTTTTTTAGCCTTACCTTTAGTAAAATTTTTTAAGTATTTTTAAAAGTAGTAAGGGTAAGCTAGGACTAGCCTTAAGGTGTTTAAAAAAAGTACTTTTATAATTTATATTTTAATTTTAGGCTTTTAATATAAGCTAATACCTTATTTTTATAAGATTTTTAGTAATATTACCCGTGTTATTAATAAATTTTAGTTATTTATTAATTAAAGCCTTAAGGTAAATTATAATTAAGCTTTTTTTAATATTATTACCATAAAAAAAAGTCTAGTATTTTTAAAAAGGGTTACTATAAGTATTATTTAAAAAACTAGGAGTATACCGCGGGCGGTTAAAGCCAGGGTTTTTTTAATTATTTTAATATATTAGCTTAATTAGGTATTAACCTTTAAATCTTGCACATGTTTTTTAAGCTTGGTTTTATTATTATACCATACCTTAGTATTATATAATAAGCTAAAAATAATATAAGTAATAACTACCTTATAAAAAAGTTTATAAATAAATTATATATTATATATACTAGGTTATAAATATACTAGGCTACTACACAGGCTTTAGCTACTTACTTAATAATATATTAATATTAAAAAAGTTACTTATTAAAAAAAATGCCTAGCTAATATAATATAGGTTATTTTTAGCCTAGTACTATAATAACTAGGGTAATTATTAATTAATTATTAATTATTAATAAAGGTAACTTATTATACTATTTTTAAATAATATATAATATTTTTAACTTTTTAAGTATAAAGGCTATTTTATTTTATTTTTTTTAAGCTAGCATGCCGCAAATATTTTTTATTAAAAGCTTATAATTTATATAAAAAAAGTTATTTATATAGCTTAAATAAAAGTTATTTATATAATTAAAGCACAGGATTAGGTTTATTAATAATAGCTTTATAATATATAATAAAAATAGTATTAAAAAAAAGGCAAGCTTTATAATATATTATAGCATACTAAATATATTATTATTATAGTAAACTTTAGGCATACTTTTATACTTTATTTATTAAAAAAACTTATAATTAAGGCTAGAAGTATATAAGGCCAGCCTTATTTTATTATTTATTAAAGCAGGTGTTATAGCAAAATAATATTAAAAATACTTAAAATATTTATAATAACTATAGTAACCTCCTGGTTTTATAAAAGTATTATTTTTATATTATAAATAAAAAAGGTTATTAAATTTATAGCTAAGTACTTAAATAAAGTACTATATTATTATAAGCTTAGTACCCCTTGTATTAGCGTAATAAAAATAATATAATATATTATAATTTATTTTAATTTTTTTTTAATACTAAAAGTAGTGCTATAGGGCGCCAGGATTAAAATAAAAACTTATTTTTTTATTACCCTTTAAAAGTATTACTACCTTTGCAAGCTTTTATAATAAAAAAAAGTATTTTAGCTATAAATATTCATTATATAGCCTGTGTATAGCCTGCTTAATATACTTTTAATAAGCCTTTAAAATATAAATTATTACCTAGTCTACTTTAGAAAAGGTACTACTTATATTAATAATATTTTTTTAACCTTTTTTAATAAAATCTTTTTTAGCTAGTAAAAATACTTATTTTTTTACTAATATTTTAATACTAGGGGATTAAAGTTTAAATTATTATTTATACTAAAATACTTTAGTATTACCTTTTTTAAAATATTAGCCTTTTCCCGCGTGTTTTTAATTATTTTATTATTTATTAATAATAAGAAAGCCTTAAGCCTAGGCTCTAGCTTATACCATGCTATTATTTAATATAATTTTTAGTTATTTTTAACTTTATTAATTATTTTAGTTTAATATGCATGTTTAATTTTATAAATTATAGCTAAAAACTACTTTTTTTATTTTAGGGTAGGGTTTATTACCCAGGCTTAGTAATTTTTTATATATTTAATTAATTACTAGGGGGCGCTGCGGTTCCCTAAATTAAAATATTTATTAATTATTTATAAAGCTTTCGTGATAGTATTACTAAAAGATTTAATATATTAATTTAATACTTTTATATCCCTAAGTTCCGCGGGCTAAAAAAAAATTATTTTATTTTTTATAAGCTTAACCAGGCACTTAAGCTTATAATTTAATATATTATAATAATATTATTTTAGTATTTTTTTCCCGCGCCCTAGTATTATAATAACTAAAGTTTAATAATTAAAGCTATTATATAATTTAAATATTACTAGTATACGGGTAAATAAAATATTTAAAAAAATTAAATTAAAAATATAGCTAGCTTTGTGCATAATTATACTTAGCTTATTAATATAGCTAATATTATTATTATTAGTTTACCTAGTAATTTTACCACCGCGGTATAGGTTATTTATTTTAGGCTTAAAAATATTATAAATAATATTAAAATCTTTGCTTATTACATAGTTTAAGGTAGGAATTAATATAACTAGGTAGTTAATTATTTTATAAATAATTAATTTTTAATATATATTTAAAACTTTAATATTATTTATTATAAGCTATAATATGTTTTAATTTTATATTAAATAATATTATTTAATATATAGCGCTTTCCCTTTATAAATATAAGTAAGTATTTTAGGGCGCTTTTTTAATTAGTTTTTATAATTATTTTAGGTATTTACCAGCGCGTAGTACTTATATACTAGGTAATTTTAGGTTTTTATGCCTGCGGTAATTTAGGGCTTTTAAATATAAGTAATATTATAGCCTTGCTTATAGGCTAGTTATAAAATTATAATATAACTAAGTATAAATTTATTTATATTTACCTAGTAAATAATAAAATCTTATTATTATTAAGTATTATTATAATAGTAATTACCATAGTTTTTTTTTTAATACTTTGTTATTAAAGCTTAAAAAAAATTTAATATTAATTTTTATTACCTAAGGTAAGAAAGGCGTGCCTATATTAATTAAAATAAGTTAAATTAATTTAGTAAAAAGCTACTTAAAATTTTAGTTTTTAATATAAGTATTAAACCATAGGGTATAATAATTAATAATTATTATAAAGCTTTATTTATTTATTTTAGGTTTTTCCATGGTATGCTTTTAGGGATTTTTTTAAAATAAAAATTATTTAATTTTAGCTTAAAGCTAGGTATTAGCATTAATTTAAATATATATATTTTAATATTAATAGGTACTATAGTAGCGCATGCTATTAAGTTTTTTTTTAAATAAGTAAACTAAAGTTTTATTCTTGCGCCTAAAGGCTACTAGGTAATTATTATATTTTATTAATTATAAACCTAGGTAATTTATATAGCATGTAAGGTTTTTATAATTAAAATTAATAAAACTTAAATAATTTATAATTATTATATTATATTATATATAATATACCGCGTGGTTATATTATACTAGGTAATAATATTTTTAATAACTAAAGTTATACTAAAAAACTAGCTAGTATTTTTTAATAAGCTAGTAGTATTTACTTTAGTTAAATAAAGTAAAGGCCTTAGGCTACTTTAAAAAAAATATTATTTAAATAATTTACCTAGTACTAGGGTTAGGCCTATATTTTAAAAAAATAAGCTTAACTAGCTTTAATCTAGTTTAGGCCCTAACCTTATTTTAAATTAGCTTAATAATATTTATTTTACTATTATTATATATTTTAATAGTGCTAGGCACCCCTTATATTATGTAATTATATTATTTTTAAAAAATATATATATTAATAGCGCCTAGGATGCGGTATATTATATTAATTATTTTATTAATTATTAAAAAATTTTTAATAAAAAGGTTATTAAAAATAATAGCCTAGCTTATATAAATAATATTAATTTTAAAAATAGCTATAGTTATAGTTAATCCTAGTATATATTTAATAAAGGCCTACTAAATAATATATACCTTTAGGCGTGTTATTAACTTATTATTAAAAAGAATAATTAATATTTTATAATTATTATATATAATTAAAGCTATAATAAAGTTATTACATGCTAATTAAGTTATTAAAACACCTAATTTAATAATTAAGGGTGCCTTGTTTAAGGTAGCGTTAGTTAAAGTAAAAAAACTTACTTTAAAAAGGGTAAGCTAAACCCTTAAGTTTTTAGGGGTTAAACTTATTTTTTTTTAGGTAATAATTTTACTAAAAATTATTATAATAATAAGCTAATTATATATATATAAAAAAATATAATTAATATTATTAATATTAGCATAGCCCTTTAAAAAAATAAAGTATATAAATTTATTATAAATATTATAAGTAAAGGCTTTTTAATTTTAAGTTTTTTACTTAATTATAAAGCTATTAATAATAATTATAAAATTTATAAAAACTTTATACTTAATATATACTTAATATTTTTATTTATTAAGCTAATTATAAAGGGCCTTTATAACTAGGCTAGGCTAGAAAATTAACATGCTATTATTTTTAATAATAAAAAAAATAGGCTTGCTAGGGCCCTTTTTTTTTAGCTTTTTATAATATAAAGGTTAAAAAAAAATAAGGGGTTTTATAACTATATAAAGTTAGCTAAGTTAATACTTATAGGCTAGTTAAAAATATATACCTTAATTTTAGTTATTACACCGCGGGGAGTAATAAAAAAAAAGGTTAAAAATAAAATTAAAATAATAAAAATATATATTTATAATAGTTTTAAAGTGTCTAGAGCCCTTATTTAAAGGTACCCCTAGATTGCTAAGAGTTATAAAGGTGGTGTTAAGGATGGTGTGCCCAAGAAACATCTGGAATTACCAGCAGTACAGAGAGACGCTTGAGTAATAGCGGAAAGCAGAGACAAACAGCCACAAGAAGCAATAAACCATATATAGTGAAATTTTACCGCTCATATCTGACTACACTGTACACGGTTTACCGTAGTAAGAACATCGAACGGAACGCAAAGCAAAAGCAACGCTATAATACCAGAATCCTACCAGACTCCAGCACTAGTCCTCCTCCTCCTGCGGACCAGCCATAACAGCTATGCGGTGCAGCATTCCCAGCACCGTATTAGTCGCAGGGCCGTTTATATCTAAACAGGACCCGAGGCGCCCATCAAGCGTATTCTCAATGGTGTGGCTAATGCTAGCATCCACGGGATAGCCACCAGCGTCCTCAAGCCCAATGTCATCACCCTGCGGAATACCAGGGAAAGAGAGGGACTCCGTCTGCTCGTCATTCTCATCGTCCTCCAGCCCCTCCTCCAGCATGTGCAGCCGCACCGCCTGCAAAGCGGGAAGGCCCCTGCGGCTGAGCGTCTTGAGGAGATACTCAATGCCGCCAGGTAAGACCCTTAGAACGATGATCTCCAGCGTCTCGATCGTCTTGTGGTGGCGCACGATAAAGTCGACGAAGTCCTCGCCCCAGCCTAAGTGCTGGTCTTCTCCGGTGTAGGCGAAGTGCACCAGCTGGAATTTCTGACGCCGGCGGTTGGTTTCGGACATCAGGGCTTCGAGGATGACGGGGCCGAACAACTCGGTGCTCAGCGTGAGAGCCTTCAGGTCGTCGGCGAGTAACAGTAGCTTTGCTATGTACTCGGCCATCATTCTGTCGTTGTCGACTTGGTTTTCCAATCCGTCGGGCCCCCCCAAAAGTATGTGAGGGAGAGCAGGAGGAAGAGCAGGAGCAGCGCCAGCACCAGCGCCAGCGGCAAGGAGGAGAGCAGCCCGGATCTCCTCAGCCCTGGAACTAGAACTAGAACTGGAACTGGAACTGGAACTAGAACTCGCACTGGATCTGGAGCTAGCACGAGAGGCAACAGAACCTTGAATCTCCGGCAGGGAATTCGTATCGCTTTCGTCCTCATCGCCATCCCCGTCCGGAATCGCCGACGGGATTTCCTTGAACTGGAACTCAGTGAGACCAGCCCAAGCAGCCTGGAAGTCCGGATCGTCCAAGTGCGCGTCGTCAATCCAAACGGGGTTCAGATTGTCAGCCCGGATTTCAAAGTACCGCACAGGCAAACGGGCCTTGGCGATGATGCGGAACAGGATCATGATCGCGTCCTCGATGGAGACGGCATCGTCGAACATCTCGCCCTCCTGCAGCGCCGGGCGCGGGATCGTCGTGCGCAGCGCCTGGCGTCTCGCAGCAATGCGGCCCACCATGAACTCCAGTTCCCGCGGATCGTCCGCATGGATTTCATCGCGGGGAGGGTGGATAACTTTGAAGGTGGAGCAGCGCGTGAATTTACTGATAACGTCGTGCCAACGCTGGACGGTGTCTTGCTCGAGCACCAGACGGCCCAGGCCCTCTGGCTGCACGGCGTCGGGGACCTGCAAGCGGCGCCAAGCTAGCCCTGTACCGAACCACCACAGGTCCCATTCGGCGGTGGTAGTGACTGTGAGCCCCTTGACGTACTTGGCCAAACGGGGTGTGTTGCTGATGTGCTTCAATCGCTTCAAGGACTCCCGGCCGAGGTCTGTGGTGAGGTGGGTGAATCCCGCGGCGGCGAAGTTCGTGTATGTGGCCTCGTAGAGGAACTTGCAGGTAAACCGGACACGCTTGAGCTGTCGCAGTTTCAAGTTTGAGCCGATGATGAAGATGATCTCTGGTGGGAGGTGGCAGATGGTTCCCGTTTGCGAGGATAGTTGGGTTGCTTGCATCGTGGCGAGATTATAGTGGGCTTAATTCTGTTGATTGACAATATAGTGTTCTTGTATTGAAAAGAGCAAGAGGCTATTCCTATGTATGGATTGGGTGAAATAGCTTGATGTTGTTGATAAACCTGAGTGGTGGTGTACATGACACTATTTAACTTCTATCTGGTATCGTAGGCACTGGGCTTAAAATAGCCACGATGCAGCATACAGGATCATGATACAGCGATTCAGACATTATACTTGTTGCGAGGTATCAGCATTCAAAGCAAGAGGGACCTTGAGATCGGTCCAACAATGAGTCTTTGTCCCGGATGAAGTTAGGGTTGTGTCCGATCCCAGCCCTAATTGTTTCACTCTCCTGTTCCCATTGTTAAACAAACTGCTTATTTTAGACAACGTCTCGCTTTCCCGATATGCTTTGTTACTTGAAACTATTGACTTCGCACAACAGTCTGGCCTATTTTAAACCGTAGCAGATTGACGGCCATCAAGTACACAACAAGCATTGTTCAGATCACCTATTCTCACGATATCCAACAACCTGAATGGCCGTTTAAGTGCAGGCGCCAGAACTGAATAAGCATAAAAGGTCGTCTGCATATAATATGGCACAGGACATGATTAAGGAATGGATAGTAATTCATGGATGTTAACCCAGTAAATGCCAACGAACACATATAATACCCACCTTCAGTGCCACGTTCCTACCATAATCCATATCTACTTCCAGTTCTAAAGTTCTATTGACCTTGTATAGTGTATTTTGGCCAACAGATTTCCATGTTGGAGGTATGATTAAATAGGCGAATTGTTTAAATGAGCCGCATCTACTTCAAGACAGATTGCGAACACGGCTCGATATTAACTTGATAATTGGGAGCATGATGGAATGAATAAACCGCCAGACAGACTGAGCAGGAATGAAGGTGTAGGTACATATTAGTACGGAAGTCAACCGAGAAACCGAACTCCAACACAGGCAGTCGTATACCAATCCATACGGCATTGAACATTGCCCAAAACCATGTACCACCGTTGAAAAAACGTAACTATCGCCGGATCTTCTTCAAGACAGCCATATCCGCCAGCCACCCCAAAGCCACCGCCGTTCCTGAGCCTGACAATTCGAGGTCCGGGCCACCCCACCTAGAATCGCGATATGTGTCATCATGAGTGAATCGTAGATCATTAGCTTCGTTGACCTGGTCCACTCCGAGCGGTATCTCCGGGAAATATACCCAGCGTACGCCTCTCAAGGAACCCCCCTTCTGCTCACTGAGGAAGGAAAGTTTGGAAAGACTGCAAGACAGGAAATGGAATGCGGGCAAGAGCGTTGAAAAGATACTTGATGCCTCCCGTACGGAGCGTGAACTGCCTCAGTGAGAGGTGTTTGAGCATGGTTCGGTGTCATTTCACCAGCTTAACCAGGCTTTTGCCGTACTGCAGACAATCAACTGTGTCTACAGTGAGTGATTTGAGCTGTGGGTTGGGCGGGATCTTGTTAGATACAAGACAACTGACGATCTGCGCGGGGTTCGTGGAGCTCCCGGCGCTGAATGTTAAGGACTGTAGATTGATACCGCGAGCAATTGGCCTTACGACGAAGGTTGCTGCTGCGCGCTCGTTCTCACGATCACGACCTCGCCAACCGGCGACGCGGTATGTGAAATCCGACGAACTTGCCCAGGCAGCGCAGAAGGCCGGGTCGTCGAGGTGGGCTATGTCGATTCGGTGCAGGCAAAGGACGTTGATATCGAGCTCCAATTTCTCGACCGGGATCTGGACATTGGAAACGATATTCACCAGCACCATGTAGGCGTCCGAAATGTCCAGGTGGTCGTTAAATATCTCGTTCTCGTGCAGAGCTGGGCGGGGTATGGTTTTGCTCAGTTCGCGGAATTCGCGGTCCTTTTCGTCTGCTGCTTCTCTACTCAGCCCAGCTGCAGTAGGGTTATAGGAGTAGGTAAGAAGGTCGGAATAGAACGGATCCCGAAGGCTAAGTGACCTGCAATTGACGAAACGCTTGATCACGTCTTGCCAGCGCTGGATTGACTCTCGATCCCTGATTACCGGGCCTGCATGGTACTGGAGCTGACAATCACTGTTGTTATGGCTGCCACTTTCGCTATCGGTGTCACTATCGCCGTCACCATTGATCATGGTCGGAGTCATTGTCGGAGCCATCGTCAGAGCCATCGTCAGAGCCAATACTAGATCCAATACTAGAGTCATCTTCAGAGCCATCGTCAGAACCACCATCCAAGTCAATGGATAGTAGGAGTCATAATCGTGGCCAATATCGGTAATGTCACTATCAGCTACACTCTCGCTGTCGCTTTCGCTCTGAACTTCGACACCATCGTCGCTCTCGCTGTCGCTGCTGCCTTCGACGGCTTCACTGACATAGCCCGAACGTCTCAAGCGGCGCCAGGGCAGCCCAGCCCCAAAGCGATGGACATGCTAGACAGAGACGATTTTCACTGTCAGTTGTTGGACGTAGTTGGCTATACGCGGATGGTTGCTGATGCCGTTGAGTTTCGCGAGGGAGAGGTGCCCGAGGTCGGAGTTGATGTTGCCGAATCCCAAGTTGCCAAAGTGGATAAATGTGCTCTCGCAGAGATATTTGCAGGCAAGGCGGGTTGTCTTTAAAGTCAGATAGATCCAAGTAGGATGCCATCTCTGCAATAAGCTCGGGTGGGAGGCTGCAGATGCTCGGCTTGGTTGATGTGGTCAACACCGTCGGTGGCTGATTGGGTGACATCGTGAGGCGATCTGGCGTATCCGTAACGACGGAAGGCCTTGTTTGGTGTTGAGGTGGTGTTGAGGATAAGAATGGGATCGCAAGGTCGAGGGCCTGGGAGATTTTATATCGATTTTACGGTATACCTTGCGCAACGAGTTCAGGAGTGTGTTAGAAAATCAAAGCCTGATATAAATTGAAACGTGAAAGAAACGGTAAATGGCGAGGGGAACAGAATGGAGAAGGGGAAGACCAGGATGAGTCAAGACATCCATACTAGGCACAGTGCAAACAGCAAACCGCCTAGATAGAAGCAAGGTGACAGCCTAGAAATCCCGATACGTAGCTCCATCAGAAACGATTGAATTGCAGGGTTCATGGCACTAGGGAGGCCCCAAAATGCGGTGAACCTGAATATTTAGAGTTGCCAGACGCTACCAGAGCGGAAATCAGCGATTACCTATGATGCCTTGATGCGCCAAAGCAGGCTCCTGACTTGCCACATTAATGGATGCGCTGATAGTGAAACCATTCAAGTAGACCGACAATTCAAGAGGCCCCTTACAGGAATAAGTGTTTATGTATGGCTAGAGCTACGCACGAGAGTACTAACCATTAGTGTTCCAGCTTCGCCCGGGTTCAATTTCCTACCTCATCTCATTCTTCACCTATGCTATCTCGAAGGCCTTTCTACAGACTGGGCCTTCTGCAGATTAGCGCTCTTGATCAAAGGTACCATAAGGAGGAGGAAGCTACTCCCCTATTCCCAAGGTTGCTGAAATCTACAGAAACAGGGTTACCATATGAATGAGCTCCATCGTGGCTTCCTACCAATTCCGAGTTATTTCGGTAATGTAGCTTTATAATCTGGGGTATAGTACCCATGTTCGCAATCATCAACGCGCATGCTAGGCGCATGGGCATATATAAAATACATGAGTGACAGGTTAGACGTCGCTTGAATCGTTGCATGAAACAAAACATTGAAACATCAGAGCAAAGGGTATGCTCGAGTTTTGAACGTCAGGAGACTGCGTGATTAATCCAGGTGTTCTATGGTACAGTTTACCTGCGGGAATCCTCTATGATAGGGTCCGTGTGGTTATGCAAAGGCCTACCAAAGACTTTTGGAGCTGAAGAGGATGTAAAAATCATATTAAACACCTACTGTAATAAATGGGAATCTTGACAAGGATTTAGAACCCCTTAAAATCGATGGAGCCAGATATGTGATACGCCTTCTGCAATATACTGTTCAAAAGGTGCATGAAGAACAACTGTGACATTTGAGCCTTGGAAGCTTAGTACCAGATACTATCATACATAACATGTGTGGATGGATAAATCTGAACAAAACAGGGTCATACACATTGAACAACATATCGTCCCATCCCAGGAAATATGACTAGAAACACGAAGGAGAAAGTACACAAAAGTCACGAATAGCTGCAGTGCCTGAACAATCACCAGGGCAGTTCAACCCTAATATCGACTCAGAACAGCCATGCGTTCGAGCTCCCGTAGCGCGTTAGCCGTCCCCGGACCCCAAATATAGAGGATCGACTGCAGACATGGAGTGTAGGGTTCATGAGTCAATTGATGATTAAAAGAGATTCCGCGGGCCTTGTCAACCGTATCAACGCCTTCCGGCCAGTCTGGAAAAGTGAGACCAGCGTAATTATTCAGATCGCCATCTCCGCCGCCCGCAACAAGATGCTCGAAGTGAAGGGAGCCCAAGGCAGGAAGTCCCTTGTCACATAGACCCTGTAGAAGATGTGAATAACCTTTATGGAACACCTGGATCTTCTTTAGTGTTATATGTTCGAGAGTACGGTGATGACGAACAAGAAGCTTGGTCAGGGAATCCAACGAGTCTAGCAATGTAAAGCTTCTAGTCCCATTCAAACGAGTGAAAGGGAGCAAGGAGAGCGACTTCAGCTGGAAGTGATGAGGGTGTTCGTCGGACACCAGCCCGTCCAAAACCAGACCGGCGTCGCAGTACTTGAGCGTCAGGGATTCGAGATTGTTGGCGAGGCTAAGCAGCCGGACTAGGTATTCCGCTGGCCTATCTTGTCTCTCGATCTGCGGACTGTCCTGTTGCCTGTCATAGTCGAAATCGTTATCGGGTGCATACCGGTCAGGAAGATCAGGAAGCTCATCAGGTTCGATAAGCCGTGATTCGAAAGAGAACTCCTTTAGGCTCGACCAGACAGCATGGAAAGCCGGGTCGTCAAGGTGAGCCATATCAATGTTTGAAGGGTAAAACCAATGAAGGGAGAGGTTAAACTTCTCTACGCGCATTTTTCCTTTGCTAAGGATATTAACAAGGAGCATAAAGGCATCGGTAAGGCCAATCTCGTCGTTGAACGTCTCTCCTTCCAGCAAGTTTGGACAAGTTAGACGGTCCTGAATTCGACAATGCTGCTTTGCACCTTTACAACTCTTAGCAATCTAGGGGTACCTTTAAATAAGGGCTCTAAATACTTTAAAACTATTATAAATATATATTTTTACTATCTTAATTTTATTTTTAATTTTTTTTTTCTTTTTTATTACTCCCCGCGGTGTAATAACTAAAATTAAGGCGTGTATTTTTAATTAGCCTATAAGTATTAATTTAATTAACTTTACATGGTTATAAAACCTTTTATTTTTCTTTAACCTTTATATTATAAAAAGGTAAAAAAAAGGGCCCTAGCAAGCCTATTTTTTTTTTTATTATTAAAAATAGTAGCATGTTAACTTTTTAGCCTAGCCTAGTTATAAAAGCCCTTTATAATTAGCTTAATAAGTAAAAGTATTAAGCATGTATTAAGCGCGAAGTTTTTATAAGCTTTATTATTATTATTAATAGCTTTATAGCTAGGTAAAAAACTTAAAACTAAAAAATTTTTATTTATAATATTTATAATAAATTTATATACTTTATTTTCCTGGAGGGCTATATTAATATTAATAATATTAATTATATTTTCCTGCAGGTATATAATTAGCCTATTATTATAATAATTTTTAATAAAATTATTACTTAAAAAAAAATAAGTTTAACCCTTAAAAACTTAAAAGCTTAGTTTATTTTTTTTAAAATAAGTTTTTTTACCCTAACTAACGCTATTTTAGGTAAAACACCCCTAATTACTAAGTTAGGTGCCTTAGTAGCCTAATTAATATATAATAACTTTATTATAGCCTTAACCACGCGTAATAATTATAAGATATTAATTACCCTTTTTAATAATAAGCTAATAGCATGCCTAAAAATATATATTATTTAGTAAGCCTTTATTAAGTACATGCTAGGACTAACTATAACTATAGTTATTTTTAAAATTAATACTACTTATACAGGCTAGGTTATTATTTTTAATAACCTTTTTACTAAAAATTTTTTAGTAGCTAATAAAATAGTTAATATAATTTATTATACCCTAGGTGTTATTAATATATATATTTCCTAAAAGTAATATAACTATGTAGTATAAAAAGTGCCTAGTATTATTAAAGTATATAATAATAGTAAAATAAATATTACTAAGTTAATTTAGGATAAAGTTATGGCCTAAACTAAATTAAAGCTAATTAAGCTTATTTTTTTAAGGTATAGGCCTAATTTTAGCACTAGGTAAATTACTTAAGTAGTATTTTTTTTAAAGTAGCCCAAGACCTTTATTTTATTTAACTAAAGTAAGTACTACTAGCTTATTAAAAAATATTAACTAATTTTATAATATAACCCTAGCTATTAAAAATATTACTACCTAGCGTGATATAACCACGCGGCATGCTATATATAATATAATATAATAATTATAAACTACCCAGGCCCTATTAGCCCTAATTATAAAAACCTTATATACTATATAAATTACCTAAATTTATAGCTAATAAGGTATAATAACTACCTAGCAGCCCCTAGGCATAAAAATAAAATATTAATTTACTTATTTAAAAAAAAACTTAATAACATGCGTTATTATAATACCTATTAATATTAAAATATACACGCCCAAGCTAATACTAATACCTAGTTTTAAGCTAAAATTAAATAATTTTTACCCTAGGAAAATTCTTAAAAGCATGTAGTAAAAAAACCTAAGGTAAATAAATAAGGCTTTATAATAATTATTAATTATTATACTTTATAGTTTAATACTTATGCTAAAAATTAAAATTTTAAGTAACTTTTTATTAAATTAATTTAACTTACTTTAGCTAACACGGGCATGCCTTTCTTATCCTAGGTAATAAAAATTAATATTAAATCCTTTTTTAAGCTTTAATAATAAAGTATTAAAAAAAACCATAATAATTATTATTATAATAATACCTAGTAGTAGTAGGATCTTATTATTTACTAAGTAAATATAGGTAAATTTATACCTAATTATATTATAATTTTATAACTAGCCTATAAATAAAATTATAATATTACCTATATTTAAGAGCCCTAGACTACTATAAGCATAAAAATCTAAAATTACCTAGTATATAAGTACTATATACTAGTAAATACCTAAAATAACTATAAAAACTAGCTAAAAAAGCACCTTAAAGTACTTATATATATTTATAAAAGGGGAGCGCTGCGCGCTAAATAATATTATTTAATATAAAGTTAAAACATGCTATAACTTATAATAAATAATATTAAAGTTTTAAATATATATTAAAAACTAATTACTTATAAAATAATTAACTACCTAGTTATATTAATCCCTACCTTAAATTACGTGATAAGCAGGAATTTTAATACTATTTATAATATTTTTAAGCCTAAAATAAATAACCTATACCACGGCGGCGAAATTACTAAATAGGCTAGTAATAATAATATTAATTATATTAATAAGCTAGGTATGGCCATGTATAAAGCTAGCTATATTTTTAACTTAACCTTTTTAAATATTTTATTTACCCGTATACTAGTAATATTTAAATTATATAATAACTTTAATTATTAAACTTTAGTTATTATAATACCAGGGCGTGAGAAAAAAATACTAAAATAATATTATTATAATATATTAAACCACAAGCTTAAGTACCTAGCTAGGCTAATAAAAAATAAAATAATATTTTTTTTTAGCCCGGGGAACTTAAAAATATAAAAATATTAAATTAATATACTAAATCCCTTAATAATATTATTATAAAAGTTATATAAATAATTAGTAAATACCTTAACCTAGGGAGCCGCAGCACCTTTTAATAGTTAATTAAATATATAAAAAATTATTAAGCTTGGGTAGTAAACCCTACCTTAAAATAAAAAAAGTAATTTTTAGCTATAGTTTATAAAATTAAACACGCGTACTAAACTAAAATAATTAATAATATTAAAAATAACTAAAAATTATATTAAATAATAATATAATATAAATTAAAGCCTAGGCTTAAGGCTCCCCTATTATTAATAAATAATAAAATAATTAAAAACACGCGGGAAAAAACTAATATTTTAAAAAAGGTAGTGCTAAAGCACTTTAATATAAATAATAATTTAAACTTTAATTCCCTAGCACCGGAGCACTAGCAGGAAAATAAGTACCTTTATTAATTAAAAAAAATCTTATTAAAAAAGGTTAAAAAAAATATTATTAATATAAGTAACACCTTTTTTAAAATAAATTAACTAATAATTTATATTTTAAAGGCCTACTAGGTATATATTAGGCAGGCTATACACAGGCTATATAACTAATACCTATAGCTAGAATATTTCCCCTTATTATAAAAGCTTATAAAGGTGGTAATACTTTTAAAAAATAATAAAAAAATAAGTTCTTATCCTAATCTTAACGCCTTATAATACTACTTTTAATATTAAAAAAAAACTTAAATAAATTATAGCGCGCTATATTACCTTTACTATACTAATATAAAGGGTATTAAGCCTATAATAATATAGTACTTTACCTAAGCACTTAGCTATAAATTTAATAGCTTTTTTTACTTATAATATAAAAATAATATTTTTATAAAACTAGGAGGTTACCATGGTTACTATAAATATTTTAAATACCTTTAATACTATTTTATTATAATACTTACTTTAATAAATAATAAAGCAAGGCTGGCCTTATGTGCTTTTAGCCTTAATTATAAATTTTTTTAATAAATAAAGTATAAAAGTGCGCCTAAAGTTTACTATAATAATAATATATTTAATATATTATAATATACCATAGGGCTTACCTTTTTTTTTAGTATTATTTTTATTATATATTATTAAGTTATTACTAGTAAACCTAATTTTATACTTTAATTATATAAATAACTTTTACTTAAGCTATATAAATAACTTTTTTTATATAAATTATAAGCTTCTAGTAAAAAATATTTATAGCATACTAGCTTAAAAAAAGTAAAATAAGGTAGCCTTTATACTTAAAAAGCTAAAAATATTATATATTACCTAAAAGTAATATGGCAAGTTACTTTTACTAGTAATTAATAACTAGCTAATAATTACCCTAGTTATTATAATACCAGGCTAAAAATAGCTTATACTATACTAGCTAAGTATTTTTTTTAATAAGTAACTTTTTTAATATTAATATATTATTAAATAAGTAGCTAAAGCCCGCGTGATAGTATAATATATTTATAACCTAGTATATATAATATATAACTTACTTATAAACTTTTTTTATAAAATAATTATTACTTATATTATTCCTAGCTTATTATATAGTACTAAGGCATGGTATAATAATAAAACTAAGCTTAAAAGGCACGCGCAAGACTTAAAGGTTAGTACCTAATTAAATTAATATATTAAAGTAATTAAAAAAACCCTAGTTTTAGCCGCACATGGTGTACTTTTAGTTTTTTATATAATACTTATAATAATTTTTTTTAAAAATACTAGACTTTCCTCCGCGGTAGTAATATTAAAAAAAGCTTAATTATAATTTATTTTAAGGCTTTAATTAATAAATAACTAAAATTTACTAATAGCACGGGTAATATTATTAAAAATCTTATAAAAATAAGGTGCTAGCTTATATTAAAGGCCTAAAATTAAAATATAAATTATAAAAGTACTTTTTTTAAATACTTTAAGGCTAGTCCTGGCTTACCCTTATTACTTTTAAAAATACTTAAAAAATCCTACTAGGGGCAAGGCCAAGAAGCTAGCTATAAAAAAATTTAAATAATAGTAATAAGTATTACTAATAATAAAGGTAATAATTTTTAATAATAATTTTAAATAAATATACTAGGGCGTGTATTATATAGGCTATAATTATATAATATATTATAAATAATACCTTTAAACACAGGAACTATTAGCTATTAGCACCTAATTTTATATTTATAATATTAAGGCTATTAACATGCTTTAAAAACTAAAAGTAATAATTAAAAAACTTTTTAAGGCTTTTATTTATTAATTTTATATTAATAATATTTTAATAATTTAGTGCGCGCGCGGGCAGCCCTTATTATTTTTTAATTAAGCTTTTTAAGTATTATACTAGCTTATAAACTAGTATATAATTTACTTATAATAGTTTTTTAGCTATATAAATATTAATAATAATAAGCTAGTTAATAAACTAGCTAATAAGGTAGTTTTTATAAAGGCATAGTTTTTAAATACTAATTTTTTAAGGTATAGCCTACCGTGAGTAAGATACATAGCCTATATAAATAAATATACTAAACTACTTAAGCTAAGTAGTAAAATAACACCTTTATAAAGCTATTAACCTAATATAAGTAATAATTTATAAAGCTAAAGCCTTATTAAGTTAAACCATAGCCTAAACTTATATTAAAGTATTTAATTTTATATTACTAACTAGTACTAAAATTATTATATAATAATTTTAAATAATATTATAAATACTTTTAATATAAAAATATAAAAATTACTTATTTTTATAAAAAAAGTAAAAGCCCTAAATACCTAATTTTTTATTATTACTTTTAGTAGTAATTTTAATAATAGCCCTAGTATTTTATAATATTATTAATAATTAAGGCTAAGGCCTTAAAGTACCTTTATAAATTAAAGCCTAAAAATTTTATATTTTTATTAAAAATTATAAACTTTTATAAGTTTATTTACCCTTGCTAGGGCTTTCCACGCCCTAGCTTTATAAAAATTATTTAACTTAATATTAAATAATTTTATTTTTTTTTATTTTATTATATTCCCTTTTTTTTTTATTTTATACTTTTTTTTAATATAACTAGCTTTAGCCTTTTTTTTTTTTTTATAACTAGGGCTGGCCCTTATATTTTATAGTATTTAAATTACCAAGCGCGTAATAAATAATACCTATTAATAATTATATATTAAAATAATAAGTAAAAAATAAACGCCTAGCCCATAAGCTTTAATAAAAGTTACCCTTTAAAATAAAAAGCCTTTTATATATAAACTATTTAAATAGGCTACTTATCTTATAGTAACACGCCCCCATACCCTAAGAAAGGTCTGGAACAGTAGGCGTACGCCTAGCAATCCCCAGGGCGTTAAATATCACTACTACTACTATAATGCTGCTTTGCTAGGTCGCGTCGAACACGCCGGGCATTGTCTATTTCAAGCCACAATCCATATCCGGAGCCATAGTCGGATAAATCGGGGTCAAACAGCATCCTGTTCGTGGGCTCCCTGATGCTAAAGGAAGAGCAGTTCTTGAATTTCTCAATCACGTCTTGCCAGCGTTCGATTGACTCCTGTTCATTGACAAGACGTCCTACCCGGGAAGAATGTGCGTTGTCCAATTCGGAACGGCGCGACGCTTGACCCTCGCCATAGTGCCAGAGCCCGGTTTCACTTGCGGAAATGGGCACTTTCAGGCGGCGCCAGGCTAGACCCTCCCCGTAATACCAGAGCCCGCTGTAGCCGTCAGCGGTAACCGTCAATTTCTTGACATGGGTGGCGAAACGGGGGTTGTTGCTGACAGAAGTGAGCCGTTCGAGTGATTTCAAGGACAGGTCTGTTGTGATTTCCTTAAAGCCCTGGCTGGCGAACTGGTGGTATGTGCCTTGGTAAAAGTACTTACAGACGAAAACGGGCCCTTTTGATCTCCCCGAGGTCCAAATAAGTTGCGACTCTGTCAATCAACTCTGGTGGTAGATCGAAGATTGTAGCTGTCTGAGACTGACGTCCAGGTGGGGCTTGCATTGTGGCGAGAGTCGCTGGTACTGAGGCAGGAAGCTTGTTTCAGAAACTCTGGAAAGGCTCGGCTTCTGGGGGGGGCGATGTGCCTTTTATATTAAAGGCCAGGGTAAAGTTCTGGGAGTAAGGGAGTTAGGGGAGGAAAGTGAAAGAACAAGTGAATAAAAGAAGGTCAGTCAAAGGGAAGATAAAAGCCAAGGTCAATTGTCAAGGAAGCCTGAACTATTTCACATGACACAGGTAGAAAAATTTACCCAATAAAGGTTCAAAGACATGGTCAGGGTGTAACTTGGAACTTTGTCATGCTCCATGAAACGCCCCATTGAAGTCTAGATGAACTACCTCCAGTAACGGATCTTTGTACTTCATCAGACTAACCACGTAGCCAAAGTTCGATTCTCTCAATCCTCAACTTTCCAATGGATGCCTAAAATCCTCTATACTACCTTGCAGAGTCATCATTTGCCACAAAACCCTGTAAATATTAGATAAGCCCGGCGGGGATTAGACTTGGAATAAGATCGGAGATGCCTAGTAGCATAAATAAGGTGTATTGTGTGGCTAGACCACGCAGAATTCACAATTTTTACTCGTAAAAAAGCGCTAACAATAGGGCTTTTAATGCAAGCTTACTATAGCAGCTCTAGAGGTTGAAAGAGGGCTAACGTATTACGTTGGACATTGTATATCTACTTGGAGCTAGAACTACAAATGTTATTTTGCTCCCGTACCTTACACTCACTCAAGTAAAGTTAAGGGACAATATATTAATACACAATAAAGTTTCATTCTTTACCATCCATGGATAGAACAAAAGAAATATTCCCAAACAAGTGGGGTGAATGAGCGCCAGAGCTTACGGAAGCAAAGAGTGAATGAGCATGTAAAATAATATATTTATGAAGAAGTCCACGAGAAGTAACTATCAAATACGTGCCTTTCACAGGCAACAGCTGTAGGTGGGCTGTTTGGTGCACCTGCGGTGTAAAAGATTCTTCTCTATACCTAAGTGCACGTAATAAGATCCCAGTAATGCCTATAGTATCATGAATGTTCAAGTTGCCTACGCCTTACGCGTTTACACAGCTTCCCAAGTCTCACGAATCCTTACTTACATATAGTACTGGGTTTGCGGTGACAAACATAACACCCAAATGCTTTAAGACATTACCTACTGAAAAGATAGCAAGAGGTCACCTGTTTAGCACAAATATCACGCATCAACAAGGGATTTGCTAGCGGAGAGATGGTGCAGTCACAAACCATCCTGTGTTTAGGCAGAACATCAAAGGCTACAAGGGACACATTGTCTAGGGAAATGGTTAGTGAACAGAATAGGTTTAAGGGAACTATCATATGCCATATTCAACATCATATTTATTGCAGATTGTACCATAGATGCGCACAATCTCAAAGCAAAGACTCGAGAAAACGACTTGGATACAAAATTAGGGTGGAAATTCACAATGCATTGAAGTATAGAAAGGCAAAGAGGCCAAACAAGAATTTAACAACTAGACCAAAAGAGGAGGCAGAACAGACTGGACGACCAAAAGCCGAAAGGACCACGGACGAGGGCGAGGGCCCCGTAGTGCCGGAGTTGTATAGGTAGGAAATGAGGCTTCAACATACCATGTCAGACCACAGCTGCTTGCCGCAGCGCCTCGACCGCAGAGCTCATGTCCTCACCCTCAAGCCGAATCTCCGAGGTCGCAGGTTCAACGCCGTCAGCCTCGTTCGTCGAAAGGGTATACCGTACGTCCTTGGTACGCGGTAGGACCAAGTCTTGACCATGTGCGATGGACGGAAACGTAAGGCCCTTGATCTCCGTTTCGGGTTGCTGCTCTCGCAAGCTATCCCACGTAACTTTATTGATATAAAGGGAACGCAGCTTTGACATACCGATATTGCTAAGCCTGGAGAGGAAGAGATTTGGACTTGCCCATTTGAATTCGAGATTCGAAATCGTCAAGTGCTCCAGGGTCTCACGATGGGGCGCTATGAGTTGTGAAAGTGGCTCATGTGGCTCAAGTGGTTCCATGTGGAGGACGTGGCCCTCCGTTATACTCAGCCTCTTCAGCTTGAAGGTCTGGGACGGGCTGTCCGACCCCAGAGCCTTGATCAGATTCCTTCCGCCATCCGTTAGTTGTATGGATAGAGTCTCGAGGTTGGTGGCTGCACTCATGAGCCGGGGCAAGTACACCGTCTCCATGTGGAAGTTGTAGGAGGGCTTAAGGCGTAGCTCACGCAGGTTGGACCACGCTGCTGTGAACGCGGGGTCATCGAGGTGCGCCGTGTCAATACGGTCCTGGTCCAGCCCGCCCTCCTCGTGCTCAAGGATAGTGAGTGACTTGATTGGGATCTGGGCCTGGGTAATGATGTGGATGAGAACCATGTATGCGTCCGTGGTGGTCAGCGCGTCATCGAAGGTTTCGCCGGGCAGCAACCTTGGGAAGATGAGGCGGGGAGCTGTCTCGCCTGATTCAGCCTGGCCATTGTCACGTTGGCCTGGACTAGTGGCAAAGTTATAATCTGTGGGCTTTGTCATGGGAAATGAGAACGACGTACAGTTAGGGAAACCGCGAATGACCTCTCCCCAGCGCCGTATGCTCTCTTGGTCGCTCACAAGACGCCCGTCGCGCCGGCGCCATGCAAGACCCGTTCCCAGGCGGCATGTCCACCAAACAGGCTTGCCCACAATATTGAGCTCCTTCACGTGGGGGGCAAGGTGTGAGTTGCTAAGCTTCTCAAGCCTTGCTAGGGATTCTCGAGAGAAGTCAGTCCTGAGGTTAGCAATTTTCGCTCGTTCATAGCGGTTGACTGTGGCGTCTTTGAGGTAGTGGCAAACGAGATGGACATTAAGGAGGTCAGATAGATCCAGGTGAGATGCTATCTCGCCTATCATTTCAGGTGGCAGGTCGCAGAGCGCCATGGAGCTTTGGCTCGAATGGCGGTTTGAATGGCTCATGTTGGGGAGTTTGTTCTATAAAGATCGGGACGTGTGTTGTCGGTCTGGAAATGAGACGAAGATGTTGGATTATTTAGGTCTAATGGTCAGTAACAGTGCGTTCGCAGTTATTTATCACCGAAGCCTGGCAAGAAGTACAAAGAGTGAGTATTATAAAAGCCTCGACCTTTGTGATGAACCCTAACAAAGGACCTTTTGTTTGTATCAATCAATGGAATGGCCTTTGTATGCCTTGTGGCCTTACTCTGGATAAAAGGAAAGGCCAGAACCTGGCAAGAAGTACAAAGAAGGAGTTTTACAAAGCCTCAAGTTTGTCATAAACCCAAACAAAGGACCTTTTGTATGTACTAATCAATGGACTGCGCTTGTTATGCATCGTGGCCTGAATCTGGATGACAGAAAAGCTCTGACCCAGGCAGAAACTACAGAGAGAGTATTGCAGATGTTCAACTTCATGATAAACCCTAACAAAGTACCTTCCGTGTGTATAGATCCAAGGAACTCCCTTGTTATGCCTTGTAAGCTGATGAAAGAGGAGGGCGGACCGTTTAACGACTCTTTGGCCTTTACCTCAATGAAGCCATGTCTAGGCCATATGGATTGGGAAGCAAAATTGATGAAACAACAGCTTGAACCATAAAGGAGAACCGGCTTAGTGGTAGTTCTAGCTGCAGTCATTTCCTGAAGCTCTCCCAGCATAACACTCAACCCCTGACCTTAGATGCCAGATCTATAATTAAAATCGCAGGAGGCCACGTCCATCTGCACCTGTAATTGTTCGTGAAGTGTATCCCATTACCCTGATAGACCAGGTTGGCCCCAGCCGAAAGTCATGGAAATGACAGTTCCCTGAACACCCTACGCCAATCTGATAATGTTCAGACTGAGATGCTTAAGAGTCTCGCGGTGACTCAGTATGAACTTGGCCAGGCCCTCGCCGGATGCACGCTCGTTGTTTCCGAGTTTTCCAGCCCTAAGCCTCTTGATTGTCACAAGGCGGCCCAGCAGTAGTAGCCCAGAAACCTCTGGTAGCCGCACGGTCAGACTTTCCAAATTTCCAGCGAGCTTGAACAGCTCAAACGTATAATCCCCGGTAAACTCGATCGGCCCAGCTCCATCAGTTAAGGAGATCTTCAACCCCCGCAGCTTCGACAAGCCGCTGGGACGCTGGAGGTAGGCAATTTCAGCTTTCTTGGAATGGAATTACAGAGGTCCCAGCATCAACTGTTTCACTTGGATGCCCTCTCGAATCATGACATTGACCAGCAACATGTGTGCCCATTGACTACCATACCTTTACCGTAATACCCTCGATTCACAAAGCTGTCCTCTGGCTTGCCTTCTAGGTAACATACCCATGGCGTTCACATCTGTCTCATCCTCATCATTGAGATGGTGTGAACAAAGTGAACTACCACCTGACCACGCCACTGCGCATCAATGCTCATTGTTAGTCAGTTTGAATTGCTCGCGGCAACAATGAACCGGATCTTGGTAAAGGGGAGGGGAATACATTGCAGAACTTGACTAACATTCACCCCAAGATGTTGAGGATGTGCTGTCTGCTTTGAGGATTTGCGGGGGTCTTTGTTGAACCCTTTGTAGGATGCCTCGCTTGAACCTTTACCATTGAACAAGGCCATTACGGACAAAGAAAAATCTCATGCATGTGACTTGCGATGCTATGCCTATGGGGAACGTGATATCCCAGCTATGTTCAAGTACAAGTACATGCCGAAGACTTGAGAGCCCCTCGCTTGATCACCATGAGACTCGGGCTATGCCTGCGTGGACATGCCCACAACTACCTCAATGCTCATGCCACTTCTAGGTACCTACCAAGGAACTACTGCAGGCGTGAAGCCTATCTAAATAACTCAATGGTCGGGCCTCATTACGAATCGGCGTCTGAGCCTCCCGTTGAAAATGGACATAGATTGTGAATTAGGCTACCTGCCAGCGCTACCCTGCATTGCTAAATGAAGTTTTGCTATAAGCCTTGATTTATCCATGAACCAAAGAAATCTAGAGACACCCCGAGAAAAAAGCCAAACAAAACAGGAAAACATAGATGCCACCTCCTACCACCTCCAACGGTCCCCAGAGAAAAAGGAATGTGACTCCGCGGCAGTCCTACTGAACACGCGCCTTTGCCTCAAGATCGCGCAGCGCAACACCAACATGAGGAGCCTGTCCTTCGAGCTCTATCGTAGACGTCGCCGCGACACCGTACGAGCGTGGTTGATACTTATGCCTGAAGTGTACCCCAGTATCCTGATCAACCCAGTCAACAAGGGCTCGGAAGACCGGAAACGAAAGTCTTTTCCCTACGGTTTGCCCTGTGCCTTCCTCGAGACCCTTCAAACACAGTGATCGCAGAGCAGATAGACCTTGTGCAGAATTCAGAGTGTTAAGAAGATACCCGACTCCCCCGTCCAGCAGCGCAATATGCTCAAGATTTAGACGCTGGAGTGTAGCGCGGTGTCGACAGATGAACTTGGCCAGGGACCGCCCAGATCCAAGATACGCTCTGCCGCACAAGCCCAGCGACTTCAGCTTGAATGTATGTGAGGTATCTGTCGCAAGACGCCGGAGTATACCCAAGCACCCATCCATGTGCAGTGTCAAGGCGTCCAGGTTGCTCGCGAGTCCGATAAGGCCGGATACATAGCGTTCCCGATCACCAGCCATCCGCCAACTACCGGGGTCAATCTCCAACTCCCGTAGATTCGACCACGCGGCGCGGAAAGCAGGGTCGCGCAGGTGAGCTGTATCGACGAGATCCATGTCGAGATATGGTGGCAAGAGCACGAACCTCTCGACGGGAATACTAGCGCCCCGAATCACGTTTATCAGTACCATGTATGCGTCGGTGTGGTCTAGGCCATACGAGAATGACTCCCCGTTTTCCAGCCGCGGGTCTGGCTCAGGCATGTTGTCGTGGTTGTCCTCGCGAGACCACTCCGGTGTTGTGCGTACTGTCGACCAGTGGCGGACCTCGGGCGTCTCGTACACCTTGAAAGATGTGCAATTGATAAGTCGTGCAATGGCGTCCTGCCAGTCCTTTATGGACTCCTGGTCGCTCACAAGCGGGGCTTCACACTTCCTTCGACCTGCCCTTGGCGCGACGCGACGCCATTCAGTGCCCGTTCCAAAATGGTGGATGCGATGGTTAGGATTGAAAGTAAGCGTCAGCTGTTTGACGTGGTGGGATAGACGGGTGTCCTTGCTCAGCTCGTCGAGGTCGATTAGTGAGCCGGACGTAAGATCAGTGGTTTGGGTGAAGTACACGGCGGCTCCGAAGTGGTGGTACGTGCTGTCGTGGAGGTAGTGGTTCGCAAGTCTCAGGGACTTCAAGGCCTTGACGTCCAGGTTGGATGCTATTGTGCCTACTATCTCCGGTGGAAGGGTGCAGAGTGCCGCGGTGGGCTCAAGCTGCCTGGCTTTCTTGGGCTTTGCGGATGGAGGTTCGGACGCGTCCATGGGGCGCTTCTTGCTGGGATGAGTGGTGGTTTGCATGGTGTGGGTATGTAGATTGCGATCTTGGTAGGTGGATGGAATTGTGAAAATGAACTTGATGAGGTCCGGGTGGTGGCAGGACGGAGGTATTTATACCTGGTGTGGAGGAGTCCAGGGCGATTGGAGTGAAAGGAATGATTGAGTCATAGGTATCAAGTGAACAAACAGACCTCATGATGGAACTACAAACGCCTGTGAATAGACTGCCCTTCTTGTGTAACATGGGAGTGAATGCAGTCCTTGATATCGTATACAGCTGCAAAACTATTGAAATCTCTAACCCATAGTTGCTCGGCAGAGCGAAGCGTATAAGGAATCTCAGATAGCAGCACCACAAACTTCCCGTACCATGAAATAAGTCGTATACTCCCCCTGCCCACCATACGGATCAAGCCTCTGCACCACGCGGTCCACCTCCTTGAACCCAAGGCGATCATAGATCCCCCTGGCAGCATGAAAGGCAATCGTCTGCACAGGGACCCCAATGCTATCCGCAAAGGCCAGCCCGCTCCGCACAAGCGCAGTGGCAATACCCTGGCCTTTTCGTGAGGGGTGGACGGCGAGGTAGTCGAGTTCTGGCATTTTCACTCAGAGATGGACTAGAGGATGGAAGGGAACTGGGAACAAACATACCGATATACACCTTCCCCCGGACATGCCTATCCGCAATGGCATGGATCTGATCATCCATAGCCCCCATGTCGGTCCTCGGCGACCACCAGGCTGACAGCGCGCGTTTCTCGAATTCCTTCTCTTCTTCCTGAGGAATACGCGGTACCTGAGCATCCGGCCACGCGACTCCTTCCCGTCCAGCTGCATTCTGATCAAGGCCCTCCGGGAGCACCCATCGCGCATACCCCACGACCTCGCCGGTAGTGGGATCAATGGCCTTCTGGTGACGCATAGTCTGCCTGTTCTGGGACAGACTGCGCGGATACCGAAGGGAGCATTGGTCAATAAGGTAGCTCAGTTCTATATCCTTAGGCCACAGCAGTCGCCAAGAGGGATCGGTCCAGAAGGCGCTCATGTTGTTGTGGGCCAGGGCCGGGGCGTCGGCGACGGTGCAGTGGGTTATTGTCCACTGGAATTTGTCTTGGGACATGTTGAGTGGCAGCTTGGTAGGCCAAGTGGTAGGCAAAGCGCTGTGTATAATATTTCTGAGTGAGTGAATTTCTCACCGTGGGTAATGGACAGATGGCATCTTGATAAGCAAGAACCACCTACAACGCCTAGGCTGAATGCATCCTAGTCACTGAGACTACTCCAAAGACACCGCCTGCTTATCGCCTGGCTCATAGACTTCCGACAGACATCATTTTCTAATCTCCAAATTGCAGGCCCTGCTTCACGTATACAGAGTAGCTGCAGGCTTTGGCAAAGGTTTATGCCTCCCTACCCAACCGTTCGAATACAACACAGCTTCGAACTTGCACCATCTCAGATACAATTGATACTCCTTGATAGAAAGCACATAGGGAGGCAGTCACTCGTCGCTACTTGAACCCCGGTACGGCAACGTTTACCCAGGGCCGGGGATTCAGCTGGGCAATGTGATTCATGCGATCTCCGAAAATATTCTTGGTGTCTCCCATTGAAACCTGCTCTAACTGATTTTATTTAGGTAGTTGTCCAATTTCTCAAATAAACTCAACAAAGACGAAAGCAAAAACCAAAATTTGAAGCGCCCAACAGTCATGCTGTGGCCAAAACACCAACGCCCGGCCCAACCATTCATCTGCATCACGCCTTCATGTTTATTTCAAGATCTCCCAATAGTCACAGACCATTTTCAGCAGGCGATCTACCCTAGGTCCAGAACCCTGGATCTGATTGTGGAGTTTGGAGTGTGAGAAGAGGAGACCCTTCCAAGGCTTCCCAATCTTGATGTCAGTCCCCTCACGAGCCCTCGGGAGGCGAAGATACCGTCGATCCCGTGCGTATGGATCGCCCGCTGCGCATTCTCCTAGATCATGGAGGTTGAATTCCTGCAGCTCATGGAAGTTACGGTCTCGGAAGGTCTCCATGAGATACCTCAGCCCTCCTTTCTCCACGTCGACTGAGTACATCCTGAGGGACTGGAGAGTCCGCCGATGCCGCTTTATCAAGCACGCCAAAGACTCCCCCGATCCTAAATGTCCCCTTGTTATGTCTAGGCGCTTCAGCTGGAAAGGCGGCAGTGACTCGTCACTGGCTAGGCCCCGGATCAGAGGGGTTGCCAGATCCGGATTCCCACCCCAGGATGAGAAGCCCAGCGTCAAATCCTGGAGGTCAGGCGCGATTCTGAGCAGGCTCAAGGGATACTCAGCGTCTGGGGCCTTGTCGGTTTCACATACATAGCGAAGCTTGCGCAGGGGGGCCCACGCCGCACGGAACGCCGGGTCCTCCACATGCGTGGCGTCGAGAGCGCGTGGGACGGGCTCCACCATGAAATCAACGTCGAGCTCTTCGACCGGCATCTCAGCGCCGGCAATGATCCTCATCAGGACCATGTAGGCATCCGGGAGCTCCAGCCGTCCCTGTTGCCGTGCATCGCCAATCGGGAACTTCCACCCCAACGACCACCCGCCCGCGGGCGCGGGCGCGGCACGCCGTATGCTGTAGTCGGCCCAGTACGCCGACCGCTGGTCAACGCGAAACGCTCGACAGTTTACGAAGCGCTTGATGACGACCTGCCAGCGCTGTACTGAGGCGCTGCTGACGATCCATCCCGATTTATTGCGGCGCCATTCAAGCTCATCGCCGTAGTAGAGATAGTCACATGTTGTAACCCTGAGATGGCGCACATGAGGCGCTAGATACGGGTGCTTGCTGATCTGCTCAAACTTGCGTAGCGATTTCGATGAAAGATCTGTGCTCAGGGTCGGGAACCCGACTTGGCCGAAGTGGTAGTAGGTGCTTGCGTTCAGGTATTTGCAGACCCGCCGTATCTTTTTGAGATAGCGGAGGGCAAGGTCGTCTTCCAAAAAGTAGCTCACTATCTCGCCTATTAACTCGGGGGGCAAATCGCAAAGCCCGGTCGGGGTGCGCTGAGTGGGCGGGTCATCTGAAAGGTGTAGAGACTGGACTTGGTTTGACAATGATTGCATGATGATGAAGTTTGTGTAAGGATTAGAAGGAGATTGCACTTGTTTGCAGTTCAAGTTGACCCGGGCCAGAGCGTTGTATGTATAGTAAAGGTGTTTCATCCTCCAGTAGTACCTTACAGCGAGAAGAGTGAAGACCACGATGTATTACATAGTTTCAAACATGTCCTGACACTCTTTGGCTTTCAAATTATTCCACGTGAGAAGTAAACCCAATGGATCAAAAAGGGTACACCAAGACCTGAAACCAATGCATACTTTTCCTTTGTTAGGGTTAAACGCCTGCACCATAAACATTCAAGGTTTTTGTTGTTTCTGCCTGAGGATGATACCTCCATTCTCGACAATCTAAAAGTAGACACTAATTGAAGCACGTCGTGTCAAAGTCCGTAAGACAAGGTATCGAAACGACAATGCCCAAGAACGGGCATCCCTCGGCCACCAAGATCGGCTCCAAGTTGTACATGACTTACCCCTACCGTTTTATATTGCAACATAATGAAGATACCACATCTCTTCTACTCTTGCAGCTAAATAAAAGAATCGAAATACTCATAATATTGCTAGTAGACTAAAGGAAAGCACTCAAAGTAACTCGACAATAGGCCAGTATCCCGAGGTGACAGTCGTGGATGGTATCTGGAAGGTATCTATTGAAAGAAGAAAACTGGATCAACTCCATGACTCCAAACGCTGTCCATAACAACCGATGTATTCGTTCATCGTCCCTAACTAATAACTTAGCCGAACATCCAACCTCTCGCCTTGTCAAGCTTTTTAAGAATAACATCCGCCCTCGGACCAGAATACAGGACCTTCGAGCTTGGATAAGCCCACATTGCCGAACCCACGTAGTCGGGGTGATCAAAATAAAAGCCATTGTCGTAGTAGACATACTCCAGCTGACCCCCAGTGTCCTCATCAACCGAGACACCCTGCTTGATAGGGTCTCGAAACGCCAGACCCGCGCGTCGCCCGTCCGTGGTGTCCGCGTAGGAAATCTCTTCGAGAGTTAATGACTTCAGGGATGGTAAGCCGTTCTCGTCTAGGTACTTGAGCATTTTATGGAGAGAGTGGCGCCGCAGACAGATTTCCTGCAATGCTAGATGCTCGAGCGTATCACTGTGCTTGCAGATGACCTTGGTCAAGTTCGTTCCGCCGCCGAAATCACCGCGTTTGATTTTCAGCGACTTCAGTTTGAATGGGAGGTGCTGTTCCACTGTACCAAGATAGTAGACGAAGCGGTACGCCCAGGTGCTATGGTCGAAGTCCAGGGTCAGGGAGTGGAGGTTCGGCGCTAGGAACAGTAGGTCGACGATATACTGGCACTGCGACCCTTCTTTGAACTCCGACACGACATGGAATTCACGGATATTTGACCACGCGGCCTGGAAGACCGGGTCCTGCAGGTGCGCGGTGTCAATGCTCTTCATGTCGAGCTGGTGCCCAGGGTCACGGTTGAGACGGCCAAAATCCAGCGTGTACGTTTCGAGCTTCAGCCCACCGCGGGACATGATGGCCATGGGCAGAACATGGATCTCCGTCAGCGTCAAGTCCGGCCAGAGATCGCCGTACTCCTCCCTCTCGTCTCCGGTACCAGCCAACGCCCACGGAAGCGCACCGGAGTCGTTACCGCGTTGCGAGCGCGCGCGATTATCTTGGAATGGACGCTGCAGAGTGACGGAGCGGCAGCTCACCAGCTGCCGCAGGATAATTTCCCAATAGTCGATGCCCTTCTGGTTGGTTATAAGCCGGCCTGCTTTGCCGCGGCGCCACTCGAACCCTTCACCGTACCGGAAGCCGAATCCTGAACCGAACTGGACATGGTCGAGATAGCGTACGCGCTTGGATGTGATGAGCAGGTGCTTTACGCAGCTTGCGAGATAGGGGTTTTCGGTGAGACGGTCGAGCTCGATGATTGATTGCAGTGAGAGATCTGTTTTGAGTTCTTTGAACTGTTCCTTTGCGAAGTAGTCGAATGTAGCTTGGTTGAGGTAGCTGGACACGCAGCGTAGTCTTCTGATGTCATGTATCGAGAGCTGGATGGCAATCTCGCCGATTAGCTCTAGTGGGAGGTGACAGAGATTTGGTGTAAGAGGAGGGTACTGGTCCTGTTCTGAACACGCTTCCGATGACGGTTCTGAGGATGTTTCTGAGAATGAATCCGACGATGATGATGATGCTTCTGGAGAGGACTCTGACGATGTTTCTGAAGAGGGCTCGGAATCGGGCTCTGAATAGGACTCCGAATAGGTGTCTGAAGAGCACTCCGACAAGGACTCTGAACAAGTCTCCCAATCCGATTCGGAGGATGGTCTTAAGCCCATGGCTTTCAGCACATTTCGAACTGATTGCATTGTGTGGAGTTACTTGCAACCCGAGGGAGAGAAAACGTGTCAAGGTTCAGTTTGGGTTTCAGAATTTGTGGACAGGAAGGTGTTTATATAACAAAAAGAAAGAAGCTCTGAAACTTCGAACAAAGCAAATAAGTGAATGAGCAAGGCATTCACCTGTGTGGTGAATAAAACACTGTACACATGTGACAACATACCTTCTCCAATTCTTTAGGTAGAAACAGCTTCCAATACCCAAAGAAGAATTTCTCTGCTTTTACTATGAACCTTGAAGGTGAGTACCTTGGGCCTTGCTGTGGCCAAACTTTGGTGTTGATTCCGTTACAGAGATTAACCATTATAACACTTAAGCTCCGAGCCATATCTTAAACCGTGCTGCATAGAGCGACTTGGTAGTGTGATATCTTTACTACAAAACCCATTATTCTAATTTCTGCCCTCCATAATCAAGATAGGAATTCATGGGGTTGGGGAGGCATTGGAGAGGGTCCTCCAGGGCATTCTGCCTTGCATAAAGACAAGACACACCATAAATAAGGTCAATACCTTGCTGAGAGCAAGGGTGTCTGTTAATACAGCCAAAAAACGCATTAAAATATGATTCTTTACCAAAATATGCTTAAAATACAGCATTTTATTAAACTATATATTAAATATATATTAAATATAATCTTTATTAAGATTATTAATATATACTAAATACTTTAAATACATATTATATTAAAATTTATATTACTAAAATGAATATATATTTTTAAACATAATTATATACTATTATATTTAAAAAGGTATTGGGGCTTGGTATGAAAACAGAAAATGTAATTAAATAATATATTTAACATAATATTAAAATAAATGTTTTTAATATACTATTAAAAAATATTAATTAATTAAAAATTAAAATTAAAAAGCACTAGTATTAAATACTAAAGATCTATATTTTAGGAATAAAAGCCTATTTTATAATATTTATGGTTATTTTTATTATAGATTATAAAGCTAAAAAAGATTTATATTATAGTATTATTTAATAAATTAAAATAAGTTTAAAATTTATATATAAATATTTTAAAAAAATTATTAGGGCTTGGTGGGGTAAAATTACTTTTTTATAAAATATTAAAATAAATAATTATTATTTTTAATAATTAAAAATTAATATGGTAAAAATAAAATTCTAGTAATTAATATTACTAACATACTAAAATAATTTTTTTAAAAAATTTTAGGGCTTTAAGGGTGCCAAAAAAAGGTTAATAAAATATAATATAAAATAAGTTATAAATATAAATATAATAATAAAATCTTAAAATAAAATAATTAAGCTTTTTTGAAAAAAATTATTAATAAATATGATATTTAAAAAAAATCTAAAATTTTAATATTATTTTTGTAATTTTTTAAAATAGATTAAATATTTAAAATTAAGATTTATTATAAATTTATAATAATAAAACCTTAAAGACTAATACTTAACTAAGTATAAAATATTTAATATTAGTAAATACTTATTTTTAAAATTATTTAAATAAAAAATTATTTCTTTACCAAAAAATAAAATTATTCTAAAAGTTATTTAGTAATATAAGCTATATTATAAAGGCTATTAAATATTTTAGTAAAAAAAAGAAATAATAAAAGTTGCCTAAAATAATTAATAAAAAGAACTAGCTAATTTACATATATTACTTAAAGATAATAAGAATAATAAAAATAATAAAAATAACAGAAATAACAGAAATAATAAAAATAATAAAAATAATAAAAATAATAAAAATAATAAAAATAATAAAAATAATAATTATGAAAAATGTATAAATTACTTTTATTTATTTTATTTATTTTATTTATTTTATTTATTTTATTTATTTTATTTATTTTATTTATTTT